CCGGAACAATTACTTGTATGCCGTAAATTTCGTACGTGGTAGAGCCACGCTGCAACTATATTATGGTTGTAGCACGAATGGGTCAGCTCGACCGGGGAAGGACCACGCTCTCACAGAATACCAACGTAAAATAGCAGCTTAATACTCCTGTGTTTCATATGGTGAGTATAGAGATCCGAAAACCCTTTTTTGCTGAAAACGAGCCATGCCATTAAGTCCTCAGGGGTGACACCGCATCTGCTTTTTGATTCTTAATCGAGGATAGATATAGATGTCTATGGACCACAGCAACCACTTACCATCGGGTGGATCGTGTGCTCGTTTGTAACCCTTATTCTATAAAAGAATACAAATACTTGTTTCGTTCGAGATTCGAACCCTCGACTCTCAGCGCTAAGCTATTGCACCACGGAGCCGTCAGCCGTTTTAGAACATAAAACTTTTTCACCTATGTAATTATCGTGTTACAAGCTGTTACTTTGAAAGTTCTCTGTGAAATCAATAATTTCGAGGTCTTGGAAACGCCGTCGTCGTAATATTTATAAGTCCCTATATAGCAACGGTGAGTAATGACGGTGTAAGAATATCTACTACACCATATTATCCCGGTTTTATCGTAAGAAGCGACAGAGGGAGACAAACCAGGATATGGGCAGCTGGTCTTCCTGTTAACGACTAAAAATAAAAAACTGCGGTTGCCAACTCGCTCGCCAAGCGTGGCAGCTGTGGCAAATATCCATAAAATATGTGGCAATGTAAAAGGGACGCCTATGTTCAGCAGTTGACTTTAAAAGGATTATGAAGTGCCGATACGCGGCGCGAGTAGGTATTTTCAAAAATGTTATCTGTTTAATATCGCTCGCTCCGTATCGCCGTCGCGTCGTATGATAGAGAGAGTTGCAAATGTTGGAAGTAGTTTCCTACAATTACTTTTTAAAATAATGTTTCGAGCGATAATGTTTTCACCCTCCTAAACCTTTACGAATTGAGATAATTTTGTTGTCTCATTAAATTCGGTATACCTTAATTTAGGTCTGTACGTTTTTCTTTTTAGTAATTCAGTTTTGTTTAATTAAAAACACTCGAGGAAGTTTTTAAATCAAAAATATAGATATTTAGATGCTAATAACTTATATCGTACGCAATATTTCTTTAAAATAAAAACGTTCAGGCCTAGTTTTTCATTATATCTACAAGATTTAAAATTATGAAAATTAGACTGTGTTTACGGGAGGGAAAACGTTATCGCTTTTTTGTATATAAATTTACAGCTTCACAATATTCTTAATAGGCTGTAACGGTGGCTACCAACGTCAGCGGTTACGTAATACACGTAACTGTAAGAACACTTTTATGTATTTCCGGGTTTTCTTGTTACCCGACTGCTTCAGAAATAGGGTAATGTTTTTCGAGATTATATATCTATGTATGTCTATTTTTGACACGTTCTGTAGCCCAAATAGCTTGATAGATTTTAACATATAAGGTGTCGTTAGATTGGGGAAGTGACACACGCAATTTTTTGAAAATACGAGTAAATAAGGCTTCTATGTATTTTTATTTGAAATTATCCCAAATTGAATGTGATTTATTGGCAACAATATGTTTGTCTACCGATTGACCCTTACGAATGTGTGCGTGTGCAGTTAAATCAGTAAAAATAATGCGTTACCCCACGCATTTTGAATTTAAAAGATTAAAAAGACAGAATGTTGGAGATTTTTTATGCTCAACTGTGCTCCGCCTATTGTCGGTTTTTGACGAACACAAAGGGATTTGCATCGTATGCATCGATCTGAATGTTGTAGGCTCGATGTACGTCCACACTTGACACCGCGAGTAGAGCGGCTCAGCTTGTGCTCGCATCCTCTAGCGTAGACTCACCTTTACATCGCTACTTAAATGTGCATTTATTATATACCGGAAACTTCCTCAAAAACCTTTCAATAATGAATAATCGCATCGAAATCCTTTAAGTGATTTTAAAATTTTACGCGGACACACAGACGGACAACGTATCAATTTGTCATACTTTTTAGTTATTATAAAAACATGTACCTACTTGCATTTGCACAAATTATGGCGACATCCTTGAAAATTATGGTAACCTTAGAATATTCTCCAACAACTTCCAAACAATTGAAAGTTTCCGTTACCGTTACCGTAACAGCCTACTAATGTCCACTGCTGGACACAGGCCTCCCCCATAGATCACCTCATAGGGGGGATATTTGCATTAGTTGCCACGCTTACCACGGAAGACCCTGCTGCCCATCTCCTGATTTGTTCCCCTCTGTAGCCCCTAAAGACACCCGCGGGATGATATCAGGAAGTGTATATTCTTACACCGCCACTACACAGTTGAATGCTTCCCTTGTGTGGGAAATCTACAATCCGACAAGTTTAAGCGACGGAGAAGTACACATTCTTAATACCTGTGTTCGAGTCGTTCTATGTTTCCACCCATCAGGTCCAAGGTTAGGAGGACAATCACCCGGTAGGCATGGCATCATCGCAAAAATACTTCTAAGCATAACCTTGCGTAATTAAGTGCCAACGACTTGCGTGGCTTGGTTTTACTCATTTGATTCAGTTTAAGGTAGTTTAGCATGATATTGATAATTTATTCCATTGCCGCACACTTTAAAGCGACAGTAGCCTAATGGCAGGGCGCCGACCGCGAACACAAAAAGGTCGTGGGTTCGGATCCGCCATTCGACTACTGGCGTGTACCACTCGTAACACAAGCAATTTAAGCTTACCACGAGTGGTTATGGGGAATATTAGTAATGTTTATAGCATTGTTAATATTCTTTAAAAAAAAACTTTTTTTTTAATTTACTTATATTAAAAGCAGCGGAACCCGGCAGTCGTTGTCCTGTCAGTTAACGTCTCAAACGCCAAGTGTCCAAATTTGACCGCTTCGATATTCCGTCAAAATTCAAGACGTCAAATTTGACCGCACCCACCCACAACACTTTAACCTATAAATACTTACGTTTAGAGACTACTATTAAGAAGTTTGGCATTATAGAATCAATATGAAATTTTCTATCCTCTAGTGGAATAAAAAACAGTTAGTCTATGGATATTAATTTATATTCTACTTTCATTACGTACGCCATTTTCATTTGGATGTTGTTGTGTTGATTTTTGGAGTTTTCTAATGTTTTATTAGTGTTTTACTATAGTGTTTTATTATAAAATTGTTATAAAAGTTATGTATGAATGTAATTTATCTTTTTGCGTAAATAATTTCGAGTAATATATAGAAATAATTCTGGTTTTCACGCTGCCGACATCCGCTTGGTATGTTTTTTTTTGTTATCATAATACAGTAAAATCTTTTTGTAATGAAGTAAAACCTCACTTTTATTTAGACCACAGAATAGAGAATTTTGTATAGATTTTATAATGCTAAACTTCTACATGGAAAAGTAGTCTCTAAATATAAGTTTTAATGGTTTAAGTGCTGTGGGTGGGTGCGGCAGCATGCGACCCCTCGTGATTTGCCAGGCGCATGCGACTGCATGGGAATTTTATGGGGATTGAAGGGTTAATATCGTAGGTTGTGTTCAGGAACGTTTTTTTTTATTTTAGCGCATGCATTTTTATGGTGATCGATCGAATGGATTTGAGTACGATAGGGATACCTGTTGAAATTTTCATTTAAACCTAAACAAAACAAATTCGAAAGAACATCCAGTAAGACCTTGACAGTGAGGGTAGGCCGAATAGCACCCACAAATATTCTAAAATCTTTTAAATTTGTACATTTAATTTATTTATATCTTTATACTTTTATTGTTGGTGCGTCTGTTAGCGATCGTGTAATTTCTGAACGACGACCGATTGCGGTCATATCACACAAGATATTTGTAGACGATACACAATGACCTGCCTGGCTACAATTAACTTTTGTGATTCGATTTTCACTGCATCTTTATCTTAATACTAGCTTTTAATTTAACGGTATGTAGTTTTGCTAGGATACGATATTCCGAGAATTCTATATTTAAGGACCAAAATTGGTTATAATCACAATGTATGTTCGCTTATTGCCCAAAAAGATAATCGCAAAAACTGAACCTGATAGAGGGCTTACGGTAGAGTTATTATTAACTTAAATATTTATATACAAATAGTTATAATATACCTCGGAAACCGACAACCGATGAGGAAGAAAGGTTCTCCGGTTACAGTCTCGTATCGGTAGATGAAGTGTAGGCCGTCCCCGCACTAGATGGAGTGACGACCTGGAAGTCGATGGATGCAGGTGGCTCAGGACCGTGCTTTGTGGTATTCCTTGCGGGAGGCCTATATTCAGCAGAAGACTTGTGAAGGGCTGTAATGAATGAACGAATATTTACATTAAAAAAACGCTTATTATAAACCAGAAACGGAAGAACAACGACTGTCGGACCAACTAGTGATTTAATATATATTATACTAGTAACCTGCCGCGGCTTCGTTTGGATAAGATCTAATGTCACGATAATTAGATTTAAGAAATATTTAGTTTTTTTTTAAGTCATCAAGTTTTTCAGATAAAATATAAGTAGGCTAGATCCCTCCTGGCTTTCTTCTATATCTGTTCGTAAAGTTTCATCACAATCCGTTATGCCACTTCAAAGATTAGCCCGAACAGAGCGTAGAATAAATTAGAAGTAGACAGCCAGACAAACAATAATGTTAACATTTGATGTTCGTCTTAAGTACTGAGTATTATGAATAATATATGGTAGAGTATAAAAAAAAGTTACCAAACTACATAACGTTATTATACTTATTGAAATGCTTATGTTATTTACTTTTTTTAAATACATTATTTTATTTATTTTTTGGCAATACTTGGTGGAGGATCTTCTAAGATGGTTATATTTCCCCTTTAGCATGCAAACAACGCCCTGAGCTTAATAGGAGCCAGTTATCCCAACATACAGACACACACTTCAATTTTATTCATATGTATAAATAATAGAAATCTAATTGTTCCGCAGAAACTGCAAATGAGCGGAACTGAAGAAGAGATGCGCGAGGTGGCCGGCAGAATCTGCAGGAACTACCTGCACGGCGCGTGGAAAACCGTGAAGCCCACCGAGCTTGAATTCAGACGGATCAGGTTAGTATTCTACAAAATTCTGGGTACAGTTCAGTATATAAATATGGTGCGGTAATGTAAGTGATCGTTTTATCTCACTCTATGGAAATTAAACTCAATAAAAAGCAAAAGTTCTCTTAAAAGAACTAAAAATAATATATTAACTCTACATGTTGAAGCCGGTGCTGCTTATGACATGGTTTAAAGAAGTATGAGAGCCCATTAAAACCTCGGTTTCAGTATGTGTAATTTTTTTTTGGTTTACATAATGATTTTTTGTATTTAAGCGAACACTATACATAGATTAAAACTACTTTTACGGATTTTATCGCGTTTATCAAGGGTGAGGAAGACGAGTGGTTTAATTAGCATAAAATCCATAAAAGTAGTTTTAATCTTTTTAGGTTATTTGAAGTTGGTTTTTAGTTATTATTATAAGTTAAATTTTAACCCAACCAAGTGAAGTAGAATTTAGTTATTGATTTTGAACTAACTTCTCGATGAACTGGAACATAGCTCATAATCGGATGACAATAATAATAATCTATAATAATAATATTTATTAAAAACTTTAAGAAGTTACAAAACAAATGTTGCACTGATTCCTAATCTAGGATAAATCCTGAATCTTAGCATATCATACCATACAATTTCACAAATTTTAAATTTTAACTCAAATTTTTCGTTAAACAGTTTTTTCTAAAGCTTGTGTGTGTGTGTGTGTGTGTGTGTGCGCGCGCGCGCGAGTGTGCGTGTGCGTGTGCTTGTGCGTGATCGTGTGCGTGTGCGTGCGTGCGTGCGTGCGTGCGTGCGTGCGTGCGTGCGTGCGGCGTGCGTGCGTGCGTGCGTGCGTGCGTGTGTGCGTGTGTGTGTGTGTGTGTGTGTGCAAACATTACCTATTAGTTTATAAATTGACTCCAAGAAGTCTCGCAAGCATAGTAATCCAATTCTTTTCGCCAATCAAGCAAAACGATTTTTAATTTAAAGTTGCTTAGCTTCTGTATAACTTTTGTTGAATGTTATTATAAAGCCGAGGCGCAAGATATTCGTAATGCTTTCTTGCTATCGAGCATTTCCTGTTTGGGGCAGGGTACTTCGCGGTTCTTTTGTTCGTGACATATGTGTGTGGTACAGTTAAACAATGATACCGTCTGATGCATTGATACACGAAAGTTTTCCGAACAGACAGAACCCGTGTTTTTTTTATATAGCAAGTTGGTCGGGTAGCGGTGAGGTAAAGCAAGCATCACTTTTAGGATAGCTCTTTGCGCTCGCTTTATTTCCATTAAATGTGTTTTGCATGCACCACCCCAAGAACAAATGCAGTAATTTATCAAACAGTGGCATAAAGCATTATAGGACAATGTAAGAATATATAGAAAAAAAGGGCTTCTTTTGCAGGCCATCCCTGAAACTTCCCGCTATGTTCGATCTCAAAACGCTCGACAAATATGCGAACTAATAATTACAGTTTATAATTTTATACATTTTAGTCCTTTTTAAAAACGTGATACATTGTTTGACGGTGGTTCAAGGCGCCCACAGACTCTTGCAATGATTGCAAGAGGTTCATTGTGTTAACCACAGAAATCGTAATTTCTTATTATTACTATTTCTGTGGTGTTAAAATTTATTTTTTTAATATTTCTAGTGATCGTAGATTGATCTAAATTTGTATAATAAACAAGCTTTATTTCACTTTCAATTGCACATTACATAGGCTGCACTAAAAGTATCGGGAATGGAATATTTCCACTGTTCCTGTCATATTAAAATCTTTTGAATTGAAAACTCCTTGGTTTTAAAAATCGAATACCATTTATTTATTTAAAAAAAGATTCTCGGTCTTGTCACAAGGTTTTGTCAAACTTGTTTAGTCGTTGAGAAAATGGAATTGACTCGAGAAAATTCAAAAGCGATGATTATTATGACTTTCGAAGTGGTTTAACACAAAAACAGTGTGTTGACTGGATGATTTCTGCATTTGGTGATGAAGCCTCATCCAAAACCACAATTTATCGCTGGTTTGCTGAATTTCAACGTGGACGTGTCAAGCTCAGTGATGATCCCCGTCAAGGTCGCCCAAAAACTGCAGTCAGCCAAGAAAACGTGGATGCTGTGCGTAAGCTGATTGAGGAAGATCGACATGTGACATACCGCGAAATTCAGGCAACTTTAGACATTGGCATGAGTCAAATACAAATAATCTTGCATGAACAATTAGGTGTAAAAAAAGTTGTTTTCCCGATGGATACCGCATTCGCTCTGTGAAGAGCAAAAAGTGGCTCGCGTTACTTGGTGCGTCAGAACTCTCGAAAGATTCCACGCAGGATCCTCAAATGCTGTATACAACATCGTATCAGGTGACGAGTCCTGGATATACGCGTACGAACCCGAAACAAAAAACCAGTCACGAGTTAGGGTGTTCGAAATTGAGTTAAAGCCAACAAAAATTGTTCGTTCACGGAGTGTTGCAAAAAAATGTTGGCCACGTTTGTTTCCAAAACCGGCCATGTTACGACTATTCCTCTTGAGGGACAAAGAACGGTTAATACAGAATGGTATGCTAGCATTTGTTTGCCACAGGTCGTTTCTGAACTCCGTAAAGAGAACTGCAACCGCCGCATCATCCTCCATCACGACAATGCGAGTTCTCACACCGCACACAGAACAAAAAAGTTTTTAGAGCAAGAAAACATAGAATTATTAGATCATCCGCCATACAGCCCCGACCTAAGCCCTAATGATTTCTATACTTTCCCTAAAATAAAGAATAAATTGCGTGGACAGAGATGTTCATCGCCTGAAGAAGCTGTGGACGCCTACAAAACGGCCATTTTGAAGACCCCAACTTCCGAATGGACATTGTTGCTTCAATGATTGGTTCCATCGTATGGAAAAATGTGTCAAATTTCGCGGAGAATACTTCGAAAAGCAATAAATACATTTTTAAATAGTAATGTTGTGTCACTTCCTTGATTCCCGAAATTTTCAATGCCGCCCTCGTAATATGTAAAACAAAGGTATTTAAATGCACACATATTATATATATATATATATATATATATATATATATATATATATATATATATATATTTTATATATATACTCTTAAGACTGTCGACACATGAACATTTGAAATCACATCAAATTCAAAGCTAGTTCAGCCAATCAGTCTATAATAATTTGTTGGCAACATTTTAAAATTCTTTGACGACAATCTGTTTTCTGTGCGCCTGTTTGACTAAATACTAGTATGTGTTTGAGATTGGCACTATGAACGTAAACAATTTTAATTTATGTTATTTCCCTCTCCATTTAAACTTTAACTATTCCAAATCTCACTCTCCTTCTTGCGCGCAGTATGCTTAATAAGGGCACAAATTTTTCTTTTTATCATACATAGGTGAAAAAGCAAAGTCGAGATTACTATATTGTGTATCTTCTTTTGGCTGACTTTTCATGTTTTCGAAATAATTTTATTCCTCGATATGCAGGATTGCTTACGTTTTCCTTAACCAACAAGCATGTTGTATTTATCTGTATATATCGGTGGTATTTATGTCAATGAGATTAAAAATCTCTGGTAAAGATTTTGTGAAAGCCCTGCTCCACTGTGAAGTACACATACAAATCGGTACCATTGAGCGACGTAATCAACAAAGTGCTTTTCCATATTAGAAGAGTGTATGCTGTAACGGAAACAAAAGTAACTCCACAGAAAATCTAGACCGTGTTTGTTTTTAAATTAACGAAAATTACTTTTTTCACGCTTTTATGACCTGAATCTGTATGTATGTGTGTGACTGCTAATCATGAGGACCCGTATTCGAATCCCGGGTCGGACCAAAAATCAGTTATTGTATTTTTCAAATGACTGCATGGTACAGCCACGCTGCAACTATATTATAATTGTAACACGAATGGATCGGTTCGACCGGGGAAGAACCACGCTCTCACATAATATCAACGTAAAATGACACCTTAGTGCCGCTATGTTTCGTATGGTGAGTGTAGAGAACCGGAGACTTTTTTTACTGGAATCGAGGCGTTCCATCTTAGTCCACAGGGGTGATAACGCCTTTGCATTTTGATTCTCAATCGACTATAAATCAATGTTTATGGACCACAGCATCCACTCACTATCAGGTAAACTGTGTGCTCGTTTGTCACCTTTATTCTATAAAAAAGGAAGCGTAGCAACCATAGTCCTTTCTAGACAGAGGTCCCATGTTCAGATCTATCAACTACTTAATAATCGTTAAGTTAATTATGATGTTGTATTAAAGTAATAGCTGTAAACTATTATGCTAATAGCTTGAATTTTCCACATTCTTCGAAGCGGTCACAACCACAAATCAAGCGGTTTATGACATTTGGTATTGTAACGAGATATGTATCGACTTCTGCGTGGAATTTGAAACTAGATAATACAAATTTGCCTAGCTCTATTAATATTCCATTGTGTGTTTGTTATTTTTCGTTCTTTAACGCGGTAAAGGGCAATGGAACTATATGATTGTTTCCAAAGAGATACTTTATGGGCCGGAGAGTGACATCCATCTATCCATTACAACCTATAAAAATCAACTGCTGGATATAGGCTTTTGCCATAGTTGCCACGATTGGTAGGCGGGTTAGCAACTGCAGTTTTTGAGATTCCGTACCCAAAGGGTAAACCAACGGGACTCTATTACTAAGCTTCCGCTGTCCGTCCGTCCGTCTGTCTGTAAGCGGGCTTTATCTGATGACCCGTAATAGGTAGACAGTTTAAATTTTCACAAAATGTGTATTTCTGTTAATAGAATACTATTGTATAAAGATAAACAGCTAGGAAAACGATAAATACAATGAACCGCCTGGTTTCAAATAAAGTTTGTGATTCGGTTTTCACTATATCTTTTATTCTAATATATCGTTATCTACAGATACAATATTCGGTGCGTCTGTCATATGCTCACTACATTTGTTCTATCGAGACAATGGTATATAGTTTTGCTAAGCTGAGACAGGTGGCGCTG